ATAAACGCGGTGTAGGAGGCCGGGCCTGATGCTGCGTGTCCTGATGCAGCCAGAATACAACACACACACACAGAGAGAGGATGAGCCACGGATGTTTCGCTTTTTCACCACCAGTGCCTTTATATTAAAAAACCGAAAACCGACGTCTAACTCTCTCCCAGTTATCGTGTTATCGTCCTCTCTGTGCCGAAAAACAGATGCTGGGATCCTGGTGTTAGCACAGCTGTATTTGCCGGTGCATTTGGCGCTAATCTGTTCTCGAAAACAGACACCTCTACCTCACTGCTAATGTCCGGCAACAGACCGGAGGTGTGGGGGGGCGGCAGGGGGGGGGACACAGGATTGGGAAGTGTTTAACCTGCAGTGTTACCCTCTGTTAACTCCCTTTCAGTTTTCTTTGCATTGATTTTTTTTTTTGTTTTTTTTTTCTTTTTTCGTTTGACTTTGTTTTTTTTTTTTTTGTCCTCCGCATTAATCGTCGTCCGCTCTGAACCATGTGACAGTCCTGTTCACTCTGTGTGTTGTGTGTCTGCCGACAGTTCGTCTCTGTTTCTATGTCACACCGAGACACCGGACTGTGGGAGAGGGAGGGGGCAATACCACTGAAGTTTAATATAGAATGACTGCATATTTTGTTTTTTGTTTTTTTTTTAAAAAATATCCTACATACTGCAGTAATAAATACACGCCTGAATGATACAGTTACTGCATAAAAACACAACAAGCCTGTACCCACCAGCCCATGCCTGCTATGCTTTGCTTGACTAAGTCTAGACTCTATCATACATATATATATACATATATACATATATATGTGTGCTGGATGCATGAAAGCAGTAGACAACTCTGTGATACATACATACGAATACACATATAATACTACGTCATGGCAGTACCTCAAATCCAAGGCTTAGTAAAAAAAATAAAACTAGTGTGAAGCCAGCCTGGTGGAGGTCAATGTTCAGTGTATCTGTCCATTGGTTGTGTAACTGACCGTCTTCATCCCCCCCCCCACTGTGACCCCTGGTGGCCAGGATGAAGAGTGGAGCCAGCAAGGCCTGGGGGAACAACCAGGACGGCGTCGTGGCCAGCCAGCCCGCCCGCGTGGTGGATGAACGCGAACAGATGGCCATCAGCGGTGGCTTCATCCGCAGGTAGGAGAGAGGACTTTAGAATGGGGGAGGTTCGTCCACTCATCTACGTCATCTTGTCTTATATCTTGATTGTGTTGTTTTTTTTTCAGGGTAACAGAGGATGCCCGGGAAAACGAAATGGATGAGAATCTCGAGCAGGTCGGTGGCATCATCGGTAACCTGCGCCACATGGCACTGGACATGGGCAATGAGATTGACACCCAGAACCGCCAGATCGACAGGATCATGGAGAAGGTAGAGTCCCACATTATCTTTAGTTTTTTTTTCTCTATTTATTTTTGCACAATTGTCGACTGAGCCGACTGATATTATCGGCCGATATTAGCATAATTATGTAATATCTGTAAGAATTGTTATCGGTTTCTCCTCCGATAATGAAAACCCGATAATGCCATGCCTGGGTTGATGTGTGCTCTAGAAATAGGTTTGGGGATAAACGACTGTATATAAAAGTGAAAGCCACTAGATGGCAGCATTGCGCCTCATTTTTGCGCAGTTGTTGACTTCAAGACTTTATTAATGACACATATAGGAATTTTTACTTGAACTAAAGAAATTAATTTGTCTTTATTAACTGCTCAGCACTGATGTCCGATAATAATTATGCTAATATCAGCCGACTGATGTTATTGGTCGATATTAGCATAATTATGTAATATCTGTAATAATCATTAATCATTTTTTTCTAACGGTAATGAAAATCCGTAACGGTTGATGTGTGCTCTAGAAATAGTTTTGGGGATAAACGGCTGTATATTCAAGTGATCATCACTAGATGGCAGCATTGTGACTCATTTTAGTAATCTATTTTAATAATCAGGCGATTGTATGCAGAATGCTGGTGCCAGCAACTCATACAGCGGTTTGTACAGATAAATAAATAAATATTACATCTGTCTCGCCTTTGTTTCCACCCAGGCTGATTCTAACAAGACCAGGATTGATGAGGCCAACCAGCGTGCCACAAAGATGCTGGGCAGTGGCTAAACACCACGGGTCCTGGCGCGCGATGGTCCCCCGGGCGTCCCGCGCCGCACATCTACAGGCGCTGACATGCTTTCATCTCGGTATTCGACCTTCTCGGTTTGCACACATGCACATATCACCTCCCCCTCCCCATTGTAAATGTTGTTCTGTGTGGTCGTCTGTCGAGCTTTTTCAAGATGATTGTCTTCGTAAAAAGATGATTTCTTATACTCCGTATATCATTCTTTCCAAAGGTTGTATATAGTGCTGACTTGATGGCTCTCTAGCTTACCTGTGAAGTTTTTATTCTCTTTATGGAAAAAGAAAAAAAAAACATATATATATATATATATATCATATATTATTACATATCATATATAATATATATATATAAAATACACTGCTCTGGATGACAAATATATAATAGGAATGCTAAACAAAAGCTGTTTGTTTTTAATTCTCTTTCCTTTCCGGTATCTCAGTATCGTCCTAGTAAAACTGTGTCATTCCATTAAGGCTAACGTCATGCTCCTTATTTTCGGTGTTGTTACGACAAACGCGGGAGAGGAAAGATGGGAGCGAACACGCGAGCGAAAACGCAACAGGTGACGGGACGCAAAGGAACGCGAACGGAAAAGAGCACTTACAATCAAAAGGGCAGTCGTCGTCATTTTTTATTTTTTATTTTTTTTTTTTTACGTTCACCGCGGTCGTGCTGTTCACGTTGAGTTACTGTTTAGACAAATGTGCAACTAGACTCTCTGTAGCTGTATTAGACATTGCATTTCAAGTGACGTGAATTGTGCGTTCTCTGCATGACCAATGGTAGATTTTAGTCTTCTAAATAAAACTCGTCTGAAAAAAAAAAATTTATATACAAAGAAAAACGATAACGCGGCAGTAGCAGATCGACAAAACGCATGCTCAGTATTAGGACACAATTGATCGTTCCATACTCCTGCAAGTTCGCAATAGTGCCACTCTTTCTGTCTCGATATATTTACCGACTGTGACCATCTTGTTGTACAATAATGCAAAAGGGATTTAAAAAAAAAACAAACAGACAAAAAAAAAACAAAACAAACCAATGACGAATCAAAGATGAAACATACGAGGACTTTGGGTTGTATTGCAAAAAAAAAAAACAACAAACAAAAAAAAAATGACCTGTTTTCTAAACGATTATGCAGTTTAGTGATGAAGATGTTGATTATGTGCTGAAAGAGAAGGACTGGTTGTGTACTGTAACATAGGTTTTGGATGCTCTGAAAAAAAAAATCAAATAAACGTTTGCAATGTAAAGCAAAGACGCATATTTCTGAGAGACCTTACTTTTATAAGAAGACTGTATCTGTAAGTTTATTCTCCCCATGTGGTTTGTTATCGGTTAATAACGATAAAGTTGAATAATGATTATCATAACTGTGCTCTAAAACAAAATGACATACAAAAGGGTTTTTTTTTTTTGTTTTGTTTTTTGTTTTTTTT